TTAGATTTTCCCTTGGAAAGTATTTGATCCAGCCCTGGCTGGTATTTTTCAGTGGTTAGAGCGATGGCCGGTGCACCAAAGGGTGGAGTTTTCAATTCCTGGTCAAAGGCATGTACGGGGATTGCACATTCCTTCCCTGGCCTCAGTTGGGTGCAGGAGACAACCAACTGATGTGTCTCTCAAATAGATGTTTCTGTCTCTCTCTTTCTCTCTCTCCCCCCCTTCCACTCTGTCTAAAAAATCAATGGAAAATATATCCTCTGGTGAGGATTATAAAAAACAAAAAAGCAAAACAACAGATAAAGTATCTAATCCAAAAAAGAAACATCCTACCTGCTGGGGAAATAAACCAGCAGTTCTCTAACACCAGGGCAGAAGTCAGACAATGACTCTGACTTTTTTTGTTGTTGTTGTTAATCCACACCCGAGGATATTTTTTCCATTGCTTTTCAGAGAGAGTGGATGGGAGAGAGAGAAACATTGATGTGAGAGTGACACATCAACCGGTTGCCCCCCGGGGAGCAAACCCATAACCTTCTGGTGCATGAGTGATGCTCTAACCACTGAGCTCAACACAGGGTGAACCTGGCATTTTTATGAGGGAATCTTCCAATCAAATTTTTCAGTTTTTGCCTAGCTGGTGTGGCTCAGTGGTTAAGCATCGACCTAAGAACCAAAAGGTCACTGTTCAATTTCCAGTGAATGTACATGCCAAAGTTTTTGGCTTGATCCCCAATAGGGGGNATGTTATACAGCTGATTGATGATGTTGCTCTTTCATTGATGTTTCTATCTCTATATCCCTCTTCCTTCCCCTCTATCTAAAAATCAATAAAAACATATTTTTAAAAATACTTTAAAATAAAATTTTTCTGTTTTAAAGTTCCCGGTCATCAAGGTTTCACTGTATGTCACCAAGAAGCATCATTTAAAATCTCATTTGTATAACATGCTAACTAAAGTTATAGCAATTATATTAGAACAGTATAAAAAAAGGTTAGGTAAGGTCGAGAAAAAGCTGGTATGATCGGTAATATAAGTTATATTTTAAGATATGGCTTCCTTAAAGCTAAGATTCTCATTGACAAAATCCCCAAAACAAGTTGTCTAAGACAGGTAAATTTGCAGAAGGAACAGAGGAAATAATTACTTCTCAGAGAAGCACAGTTCCTACTCACCATCATAAACACAAAAGACACGGTCGTGAGAAGTGTTGCTACGGATACCACACTCTGACCTGCTGCTATGGCCATTGTCATGGAGCTGGCCGTGTAAGCCACCATCATCAGGGTGAACATCATGATGAAGAAGGCCTCCACCACCGGTTTCAATCCTTAGGAAGAAAATGGGGTTAATCCAACTGCCAGGTCACTGTGTACTGGGGATTGTTTATTGTGCAAATATTTTGAGAAATGAATATGAGATTTAAAAAATTCATCCTCTATTGAGCAACCCCTACTCACCAATTTTATTGCCCCCCCATATAACTGTATAAAAATATCATAGATTTTTTAAAATATATCTTTATTGACTTCAAAGAGAGGAAGGGAGAGAGAGATAGAAACATCAAAGATGAGAGAGTCATCGGCTGCCTTCTGCACGACCCTGCTGGGGATCTAGCCCGAAACCTGGGCATTTACACTGACCGGGAATTGACCCAAGATCTTCTGGATCATAGGTCGATGCTCAATGCTCAGCCATGCCGGCAAGGCACAGCTTTCTTTTTTGTACAACTGCATAAGCACTTTTTCATGTAACCCCCATGCTCCCTGTTGTGTAATTATTACCAATTTCTGAGTGCCTGAGATGGAGGGCTGGAGGCAACACACTGGCCAGAATTCTACTGCCTTCTCTCTAAGAAGGAAACGTGTCGAGAGCACATGCTTCCCCCAGACATCACCACATCCCTCACTGTTCGCTGTAACTGTGTCAGTGAAGACACTGGGAGATCAGGATGACATGACCTCCCAGGAGTTTCACTGTCTGAGAAAGTGTTTCCAGAACCAAGGCTCTGAGACAACGTACCATAGCAGTTGGGCTTGAGGATGGGGTCAAATGAAGTTCACAGAACTACCGTGTAAACTATAACGGGCACTTATTATGGGTCATACACTCTGGAGGTTTTGCAGCAGCCATAAGAACACCAGTCAGGAGCTGAGGACCCAGGTTCTATGGCTAATTCTTTATGATGCACCCCTTATTTGTAAAATGGAGGCTTAAACTCAATCAGTGGATCTTCTCC